AATAGAAAATACGTGTATACTGATGCTTTGCGAAGACTGGGACTGTCAACAGAGCCGAAATTCCGCGTAGCAGTAGTTGCGCGGTCTTGCGATAGATGGTGCTGGCATATGTTAGATAAGAACAGACGTATGCGTTTGAGTAAGAATGATATATATTATATAATATAATGTAAAAACTAAATCAAAGATGTCACCACTATTATCGAATTTGGAATTAAAAGAGTGTACTATCGACCTTGATTGAGTTGGGTAATCGGTTTAGCATCCCCTTAAGCTTTAAGCCGCAAGAAATTGACCAACTACATTCGAATACGAGGAGAATAATTGATTGCGATTCGTTCATTCCTTATGGCTTAAGGCTTAAAAATCTATTGTAGATCTGGGGTAATATTGCGCATAATGGCGGTGGCATAATAGAACAAATCATATTTGGGTCCAAATGCAACCGCGAAATTTGAATACGACATTATGAAGTTAATGATATAAATAACATAAAATCATAAAATCACGATTTTCAATAAAGTACAACATAAATATACCTGAAATAATAAAAGTTGAGTAAAAAATTACCCCGCAAATCGCCAGTTTGCGTAACGTATTATATATAATTTTTTTATATTATACATATATTAATTTATGTTATTTGCAGTTTTAGATCTTACTAAAGAATTATATATATATTATATATATATATATACATGTATATATATATATATACATGTATATATTTAATAAATGGATATAAAAAATGTATATAAGGCAATATATCTGCATGTTTTTATATTGTCAATCTACTTGCTTCTAAGCATTTCCTAACCTACAATATTATATATTATTATAAATACTTAAACACATTTATTATAATATATAAAATGATTACATACTTTATTAACACTATCATTATTAATACACATTTATTTATTTATGATAATAAATTTTGATAATATATATATAGTATTACCTTGTTATCTTTGTGCCAGTATATAACCCATATGTGGCCACACAACACACACACACACATACACGTCCCAATTTCCTTCTCAATTAATGTACCATATCTGCCATCACATTGTTTTTAGCATTTAGACTTTAAGTACTTGCGCTTTTACGGAAATATTTTACTTGCCTCGCCATTGTTTAGGCCAACACTAATTCCATATATTTTTTACATTATTTTTAAACAGAAATACATTTAATCTTAAATAGAAATACGTTTAATCTTAAATAGAAATATATTTTAATTATATGTAATTATTTGTGTATTTAAATTTCGTGGGTGCATTTGGACCCAAATGTGATTGGTCGAAGCGCATACTACTGCGCATCCACGGGAATGTTACACCTTGTCTTATTACACCATGGCCCGTATTCAGAACGCGCTTTTATCGATAAAAACGCACTTTTATCTCTGAAATTCTATAATATACGTGACGTAAAGTATAGTATGTAGCGTGCTAACACCGTTGTAAGCGCGTTCTGAA